GTGTTGGGACATTCTTTTGAACAGTGGCTGCTTTGTTTCCCCGATGTATAACTGGTCGCAGTCCTCCTGGCGTTTCTGGTCCCAAAAGGCATTTCTGGTCCCCACCTGTCGTTTTGCTCCTCAGCATGGCTTCCTAAAGACGCTGCAGGATTTCTCAAACATGCATGAATGAGTCAAAGCAAGGCTTTGGGCATGTTTTTTATGAGAGTATAACATTATAATATGATTCCAGTTCCACAAAATGTTAGCAACATTGGTAAAAAAGGATTTTTTGTTTTTACGTCAGCCTATATAAGCAGCTGAAACGCCACCAGTTACTCCAACAAGCTGCTCCAACAATAACATTAGCTTGCTAATGCACATAGCTGTGCTGCGAGGAAAAGTGTCCCCGGGGAAACATTTCACGCAACAAAACGTTCCAAACATCATAACAAAAATAAAAAACATTTTTTGGTATATATACCGCCCAGCACTAGGTCTGGTCATTTTAACCCAGCAGCTGGTTAATTTCAGGTTTGGTTCTGCAGATTGGATCAGAACATGATGTACAGCAACAGCAAATCATATAACTAATTATTAGTTTATTACATGTCTGATACATGTAAGAATCAAAAGACTCGTGCCTTTAAACTGCACTGCTAGCTAGGAGAGCATTTGAACAGAATTACATGATAAAGTACAGAGCAGGTGACAAATCTGATGTTCTGTTTCCTGTCCTGCAGGGAGTTTCTGGGTCAGGGCTGGATGAAGTTGGATAAAACTGAGAGGACGCCGTACATCATGAAGACCAGCCAGCACTTCAATGATGTAAGAACCAAACAATTATTTTACTTTAATCTTTGTTGACTTAGATTTTAAGGCATAAAATATAGAATTAAAACATTAAAAACAGATAGGCAGCCTTGGATCTTTTAAAACAGTTTGATGGCAAAACCATTGACATATATTACTGGATTGGGCGTGGGTAGCGCGTTGCTAGCTACACTGACGTGCACGCACTGGAGCTCTGTTCTGCATTGAGGAGCCTCAACAAAATGAATGGAGGTCAATGGACTGTGAGGCGTCATCCTGATGAAAAACTCTTATAACTTCCTTATTTCTTGCTCAATTTTTACAAACTATGGTTTAAAATAAAGCTGAGGAAATAGTGAGTTTTATAGTTATGGAAAATTTTAAATAAATAACTATTTTTAAATGACTAACAGTGGCTTAAAATAAGTATTTTGCGTTTCACATGTGTTTTCTCATACAAATCAATGAGTTCTGACCAGCTGGATATTCAAACATTTATTTATTAATCAGAACTGAGTCTTAGATATTTGAAATAATAAAATTAATATTTCAAGTGTGTGTGTACTTGAAAGATGAATTTAAACATATAAATGCATGTTAATGTGTTTAACAAATATTTCAATAAAACAACTGTAGAATTGCAAATGTACACAATACAATATATGTATTTATACTGTCAGCTTAAATTTACAAAAGTTTTTGCTGTAAACTACAATAATTTTAACATCAGTAAAAACAAAAAAATTATTTCAGGTCACAAAGAATTGTTTAATGAATATATTTTTATAACAAAGATTATTCTTCAGCTTCAGAATGATGCAGGCTGTATCTGAAGCTGACCCACAGCTGGCACACGTTTTCTTTCTCCTTTTGTTTGGAAAAGTTTAAAAAAAACATAAATACTGGATGTAGACAATATCTGAATAAACCGACCTGTCTGACAAAGTGACTATTTTGTTTATGATGCTCAATCATTACATTAGTGTCTGTCATTAGTGAGTCTACATCATAATTTCTGAATTTATATGCAGTCTAACAAGTCAACAATTCAATAAAGTCCATATTTTACATGTTTAATATTAGTAAATAATATATTTGACAACAGATAAAATCGAATTTAAATAAGGTTAAACATGAATGTTGAAGCTTTTTAATGTTAGCACACAGGTTTTACGATTAAATTAATTAATTTTGGTTAAATATGCATAATATTTACCTGTGAAACAACCTTTTTTGCTCTTGTAAATGTGTTGTAACAATCTATGTAGTTTATAGCAAAGTATTTGAACCATTTTTACATTTATAAAGCGTTTGTTTGCACCGCGCTACGTTCTGCTCGATTTCAATGGTTAGCGTTAGCATTAGCTCAATGCATAAAAATCCCCCTTGCGAAGCACGCCCAGGTCACGTGACGCCCAATCCAGTAATATATATCAATGGGTAAAACACTGAAGGCGATCTTGTCCTTGGCTTAGAAAGTCAACCTGCCTTTAACTGTCATTAAGATCCAAAATCCTTCAAACCTTCAGTCTTCATGTTGAATGTTTAAACACAAGAAAGACTACACTGAAAACACATGAACCCAAAATAAATGAGCCGTTTTTGTAGACAATTTCACTAGTAATACTCTCAAAAATACAAAATGGAAGAATAAACAGTGAATTGTTAATACACTGAGTGAAAGCAAAACAAGAACATCCCTTTATAAATACTGTTTAGATGTTTAGATTATTCTGGAGCCAGAGCACAAGCCCTGACACAATCTCATTACTGTTCAGCCATGTGTCTTCTGTTTTCTGTCAATGTTTTTGATTCCCTGCTACTTGGGCAGCTTTGGAAAAACCCAGACAAAAGAACCATGAAAGCATGCTGCTGGATCAGGAATTAGTTTCTCTGGCATTTTAGGGAAACAACTGAGGAAAACCCACGAGTCACAAATTTAAATTTTACATGACTGAACCTGCATTTTGATACTATTTTTTTCTTTTTCTTTTTCTTTTTGTTTTGTTTTGACAGAAGAACCTTTTGAAGGCTTTTGCTTTATGGAGATTTTACTACCTTCAACAGTTCAACGTATTGTGTTGATGTTGCACACTAACTTTTAAACTGTCTAAACCTTTCAGATTATATTCTGAGACACTCTTCTTATTGCCCCCAACATTTCACTTTTGCAATTTAGAGCTCATTACAAAAGCCACAGAATAATTAATCTCTCTGGACACTGTGGAAAGCCACATCAGTAGGTGAACTCTGTCTCTTCGTCAGATGAGTAACCTGGTGGCGTCTCAGATAGTGTCCCACACTGATGTGAGCTCCCGGGCCAGCTGCATAGAAAAATGGCTGGCTGTGGCCGACATCTGTCGCTGCCTCAACAACTACAACGGCGTGCTGGAGATCACCTCCGCTCTCAACCGCAGCGCCATCTACAGGCTGAAAAAGACCTGGGCTAAAGTCTGCAAACAGGTCTGTTTCCTCAAACTGAGCAAGCTGTTATCAAAACACCTCCTTTGTCACAAAAAAAAAAATTCTGATCTTGTTTTTTTTTCCAGACAAAGGCGCTGATGGACAGACTGCAGAAGACTGTGTCGTCAGAGGGCAGGTTCAAAAACCTCAGGGAGACACTCAAAAAGTAAGTAGGGTTACGGAATGCTGATGAACAGGTAAATCCAGTGCAACAAGCTGGACGCTTTGCTTTTCTTTGAGTGCAGCTGCAACCCTCCATGTGTCCCCTACCTGGGCATGTACCTCACTGACCTGGCCTTCATTGAGGAGGGGACGCCCAACTTCACTGAGGAAGGTCTGGTTAACTTCTCCAAGATGAGAATGGTAAGAAGCTAAACCCTCCCTTCAGACTTTGGTCCTGGTGTCAGAACAGTTTCTGTCCAGCAGACACAAATGGGTTTTCAGAAAATAAACTAAAACAAGAGATCCTTGGGTTTCGGCTCTTAGCTTGTGTCTGGTTCCTCATTTGACATTTTGAGCTGGAATTTGGTGTGTTGGGAGCTGTGATCACCAACATAGTATAGTACAGTCAAATCTGAAAGGGATCCATGATTAGTTGTAACATTAGACTTTATTTGATAAACATTTATTTTAGCTGTAAAATAAAGACTGTAAAAATACTGTAGGKTGTTTAGTTTTGTAAATTTTTAAAAATATATTTTAACACGGACGGAGCCATTTTATTTACACACAAAGCATTCTGGGTAAATGATGATGTGGATAGGTCCTCGGTGCGAGGCTGCTAGCAGATATATCCACCCTGAAGGTTAATCTTGGACAATATCTGATGATCGACTCTTTTAAATGAAACCAGAGAGCGTTGACAGAGAGGAGAAGGTAGAAATGACTCAGCCTGTAACTGAAAATATAGATGGAGGACAACAGAGCTGCTTCATGGAAGAAGAACCTCAGCTTAGCTTGTTAGCCTTTGCACTAGTGCTGATGCTATATTGCCTTATACTGTATGTATTAGCTCGGCGCTAGCACGACAAACTAACAAGCTAAACTGAGGTCCTCCATCCATATTTTCAGTTACAGGCTGAGTCATTTCTACCTTCTCCTCTCTGTCAACGCTCTCTGGTTTCATTTAAGAGGCAATAGATATTGTCCAAGATTAACCTTCAGGGTGGATATAGCTCGCTAGCAGCCTCACACCGATAACCTAGTTGATGTCATCATTTACCCAGAATGCTTTGTGTATAAATAAAATGGCCCCATCCGTGTAATATATTTTACACTTTTAGTTTAAAAATGATAAAACTGAACATTTTACAGCATTTTTACAGTCAATATTTTACAGTTAAAATATAGGTTTATTAAATAAAGTCTAATGTTACAACTAATCATGGATCCCTTGAAATTTAAAATGGTGCCTACATGGCAGGTCCCATCAAAGTTTACTGAGTAACTTTTTTAGTTGCTCCATATCATTATGTTACAAACAAGCCTCTAGATGTCACCCAGTTTTTATTAACTAGTTCTTAAACCCAGAACTATTACACGCATTTGTTACTTTTTTTAAATCCAGTGGTTCAGAAACATTTTTTTTCTTCATAACAGTGATCGGTTCCCTCTATTCAATGCAACTGCTTGACAGATATTTACTCCTTTTTTCTCTAACTGCCTATCTTTGAAACTTCACCTCATTGGTCAATCATTTGAAGGTGGCACCTGGGGTGGGCAAAATAAGGCGCCAGGGGTGTCACTTGCCACCCGGCCACCCCTCTGGCTCCGCCCCTGAACCTAGGTTATGTGTTCAAATTAAAAGAGCTCATTCAGTGAGGAGTATATGTCTTTAGGGTGAAAAAATGTTACAAACAGCAGAATTTCTTTCCTAAGAACATTTTTTTTATTTCCATCCAACTTGTTGTTTTAAAGTGAACATTTACTGGGAGCTGTATTGTAGTCATCTAAAGGTAGACTTACCTGATCTCTGAGAGTTTATACAAAAATATTAAACAGAAACACTGACTGCAGCATGTTGTATTGATTCCAAACCGTATCTAATATGAATTCAATCATATTTTACAAACACATCTAGAGAATGACTTTACCTTTCTGTCCTCTGACAGATTTCTCATATTATCCGGGAGATCCGTCAGTTCCAGCAAGCACCTTACAGGATAGAGCATCAACCCAAGGTTTGTCCAAAAGACCTTAAAAACTGGCCTTTCTGAGAAACATGAATAATTAGAAGTGTTACTTTTTCCAGGTAACTCAGTTCCTGCTGGATAAGACGTTAGTGATGGATGAAGATACCCTGTATGAGCTCTCACTGAAGCTTGAACCACGAGTACCACCTGGTTAACTTGTATACAACAACCCTCACAGACCTGTCTCCAGATGTGGGAAATCCAAGTCCAAACAGCAAGGCTTGTCCCAGAACACACAGGCAGACATTGGGCCTCATGCAAGAACATGTTCGTATTCTTATCCCAAATTTCTCTTACCTTTGTTCGTACAAAGGGTTCGTACAAACATGTCACATCAGATTCAACAAACTCTTCTATCTTCAGGAAAAGTGCGTAAATGAGCTGCGTAAATTCCACCGGTTCGTATCCAGCTGCTCGTGCACGAGAGAGGAGATTAGCATTATTACCACCCCAAAAACACCATATAAGGCTYTGTTTCCTGCCTCAGATACAAGGAAGTGTCCATTCATGAAAATGATAACGATAATTAAAAAGGAAAACTTTACGAGTTCAGAGATTGAAGTCCGTCTGTCAGAGATCCAGAAAAGAAAATCTGTCATTTTTAGCAGGTCAGCTGTGGAATAAAAAG